TCTGTGTTAAAAACAGACAGACACTCAAGTGTCTAAAGCTTTTGGCGATATGGTTCAAAATCACTTAAATTGGTGCAGGTCCACTTAATCTTTATCATGCTCCCGTTTCTGAATATCCTTATGGCTAATCGTCAAATCCTTCTCTCTCACATTGATGTTTGTCAACTACAGAGTATTATTTCTACCTCTGTTCTCTTCTTTATTTACTCCCGCTTCAGATTATGGGAGGTTGAACTCATTTGGAGTTCTAGGCTGATTAGTTAGTTGGGAAGTGGCATTTGGGTAAAGAGCTGAGAATATAGTTGAAAAGAAGGGGATTAAAGTAGTAAATAAATGGTTGGTGAAACGAGATTAGTAGGATGTTGGTGATATCTAATAATACAGACTCACTTTTATATTATTTACTTAAAGTAGAATGAGTAATTTTAGTTGAGTGACGTGGTTTAAGTGTTTTTGATAGCGATGCCTGTTGTCCGATTTGAAAAATAAGATACAAACAGTGTGAAGTTAAAATACTGCAGTCTGTAGATATATCTCGGTGGAAGTCAAATTGTTATTATTATTGTTTCCTTTAGTTCCTAGAGGAGCATAGAGCTTCAGCCGCACGTCTCCATTGCGTTCGGTTCTCTGCCAACGTTATTACCTGGCTCCACATCTGCCCACTTGCTTTCATCTCCTCTTCACATGACCTCCTCCATGTCACCCCCGGAAGTCAAATGCCGTCTTCACTGGGACTGAATGTTGTATAGTGTATTGAATAAGCGTATTTTTATGTGGAATTAACTGAAGATGTGATCCCAGTGGTTTATTTGCAGGGATAACAACACGAGAAGCAGGAACGACTTTTTGAGTAATGTTTTTCATGATGGTATTTAGAAAATTGTAATAACGCCAGAAACTTATAACTGATTGGTTTGCTTGGCAGGATTTCAATTCTCTATCTTATTCCTCAAAATGCTTCATGTTTGCAAAAATATCATGGGATATGTTAAGTTTCCTTCAAAATTTATAGGTGATATCTATTCAGTAACAGTCCACACAACTAAACTGTGACGAGTGTTGTTGCAATTTGGGTTGATATTCAGCTCATATTAATTAAATACTACCGAAATTCTAGTGTTTAACTGTTTCTTATAAGGACTGATTTCTATTGAGTGTGATTTTGGATCATTTCAGGTTCACAACTACAAATGGAGTTTTTTCTTTCCAGTTGCACCAATTTTAGTAAGTTAAGGAATAAGATGTTTTAATGCCTATGTATATTGTTTAACAAATTTTGATGTAAATATTATTGCTGAAGTATATCAGCGGAGGTTACCATTTTATATTAAGCGTGTATTCTCTCATTTTAAGTGTTTTACTATGTCTTTTAGAGTTCTACTGTACATTCAAAGTAAACAGTAATTTGCCATAAAAGTGATCTACTGTACACGTCGCAATGGGAAATTGTATATTTGCTGGGAAAAAGCTTTTCAACCAGTAGGTTACATATTTACTCCTCAACCTATTGAATCGGTTAGGTGTTACAACAATCTTGGGCAAAGTGGAAAGCCCTCACCTGAGGTATGTATTTGACAATCTATAGTTTAAAAATTATTTTTTTTAGTTCGATAGCTTGATTGGAAAGGTAAGCAGTATTTATCATCCGTACTCTACTCAGCATTTTTCTTATGTAAAGGAAAATAATAGAGGAGCAAAGCCGTATGTTAAAGTTTTTTCAAAAAAGATTTTCTATTTTAGATCTAAGGGATCACGGAACATAATAAGTGAATATATGTCATGGGTATGTTCTAATTTATTTTTCACATGTTTACTCTTTTTAAAACTGGCAATCTATATTACCCTGTGTGTTTTCCTACTCTTTTGGCCCTAGGCCTTAAGCCACAGTCATTCACCTCTTGTCTTCGACGATACTATGTCCCACTCTTCAGTATCTTCCCATTTCGATGAGTCAAATGTCGCCATTTCTTCTAGCTGGATTAGCGATGGAGCACACAGTGATGCATCTCATGTACTATATAAAGAACTGGATCCATTGAATAGGGCGGCTTCAGTGGAACTGGATAAGGAAAACTCAGATTCATTGGGGAATATGGCATCTCAGAAAGAGGGAAGTTGGATTACTGTAGCAGAGCCCTCTGACGGAAAATATGGTGCTTCTGTAAGTCGTTAACAATTTATCAATATGCAGAAAGATCTATTTGTTTTATTTCTTCGTTTTATTAATTATCCAATTTCCCTGCTAGATGTCAATGCATTCTATTATTTATGACAGCATCTATGCAAATGATTTGGTATGGAATTTTTAAATTCAGTGGTTGTTGTATGCACGTTGGGTGATGTGTTTCTACAAGGAGTTTTTGAATGTGAATGTAATTGTACTTTTAGCTTCAGCAATCATTTAATGGATGCGTAAAATAAGAATAAGTATAGTAATAATGATTCAAAGTTTTGAACGCTATTTCTCTCACACGCATGTTTTCCCTTTTTAGTGTTATTCTGTTTCTGTATTTCGAGGTGTGACTGGTTAAACTGAGCTATTCCTATGCGAAGTTATACGTTGATTTCCATTAGTCACGAATTCAACAAATTCGAGACTACTGATAAAGTGGGTTGGAACTTTTTTACCAGCTGTAACACAGCAAAACTGTTAAGTAGAACTAGAATTTGGGAACTGCTTTAAGCTTCTTTAAAATGGCTAGTTAGCATTTGCATAATTTTTTTTAGTTGTTTCAGTGTGAAAATAATTGAATATGTTTATCCTGAATCAATGTTGTGTGTTGAATAAGTTAAGCTGTTTGAATAAAATTGCTATTTCAAGTACTTAATATTACTGGTTTCAATGGAGAAAGAAAGACCAGATTTGCAGTATAAAATGATATCATTTTATTTCACAGGTTCTCATAAGCTGTAGACTACCTGAAATTACAATGGTTATATAGATGATAATAATAATAATAATAATAATAATAATAATAACGTACTTTAAATTTTTAAATGGTAGTAGGGAAGAAATACTATAAAATTGGCGCATCCAAAGTGTAAGCATTCCTTTTTTTAGTTTGCGTTTTCATCGTCAATTTATACGCTTTCAAAGTAGAAAAGACGAGGGAGGGGTAAAACGGAAAACAGAAAAAATTTACAAACAGTTTTAGCTTGTAGGTTCACATAGCAACTCAAAAAAACAAAAGCAGTTACACTTTATAAGATTGAAATTTGCTCAGTGAGTCAAGATCACTCAATGAGATGACTAATTAATGTAATCAAAATCAGAATTCAGTTACCAAGGGAGTGAGAGATTAATCACACTCTCTTTCTGTATGCATAAGTCTGGTTTGAGTCATATGATTGCGATCGCCTCGGCAAATCGTAGTAAATTTGTTGTTCTTTGTCTATTTAATATTTTGAAGGACTTAGAAATCTCTACGAGATGACCAGTATCAACAGTATGTCTGGTAATTGCATTCTGAGGATATTTACTTCCTTTCAGACACAAGTTTCTTGAAATGTATTCAGAAAACCGGATAAAAGCCCTTTTTCCCGTTCTTCCAATGTACTGGTTCCCGCAAGTGCACGTAAATTCATAAACGCAGTTGGAGTTTACATCAGCAGGATATTTATCCAGTTTTGATTGACTTATAGAAGAAGTAGTGCTGTATAATGTTATGAGTTTAGCTGCAGGGAAGCTTCTTTTTATTGCATCTTTGGTTCTTTTGTCAATCTTTTGTGACATTGCATCTCCTTTGAATGAAAGGCAAATAAACACTTTCTTCTTTTCTACAGTTGAGTGTTTTTCTTTCTTATTCTTTTTCTCTGCTATACTTTCGTACGAATCCCTATGGGTATCCATTTTCTCTTAGGCACTTCTCAACGAAACCTTATTCTTCCTCCAACTTGTTTGGTGAACATAGCTTCCTAGCTATGTCGTACAGTGTCCTTACTAATCCCCGCTTATAGCTTATAGGGCAGAAGCTGTTGTAGTGAAGGTATTGTCCAGTCGAAGTTTCTTTTCTGTAGATGGACTTTTCAACCGTTCCATCGTTTCTTCTTTTTACGTTTAGGTCCAGAAAATTGAACTCGTCGTTGTGTTCATATTCCATGGTGAATTTAATTTTCGGGTGGATCTCATTAAGGCGGTCAAACAATACGGATACCTGACTCATGTCGTTACAAACAGCAAACGTATCATCGACATGACGATGATAGTATGTTGTTCCATTGACAGAATCACTCAGTCGCGTCTGTTCGAGATAACCTATGAAGATGTCGGCTAGAATAGGTCTTAGAGGTGAACCCATGGCGGCCCCGTCAGTCTGTTGGTAGAATTGGCTGTTGAATTTGAATTGTATGTCTTTTATGCAAAGAATTAGTAGGTGCTTCATCTCTGTTTCCGGTAATGGCAATAGATCAGTTTGTTTACAAATGATGTCTATTATTTCCATCACTGGTACATTTGTAAATAAGGCAGTCATGTCGTATAACGCCATTAGTTTGTTTGATATATCAAGATGATCAACTTCTTCAGAAAATCGGAAGGTGTCACCCAAATTTCTGTTGAATTGGCTTCAACTAATCAGCTTACCATCGAGCTAGTTTGTGGCATAATGAGTTTATCATTGGTAGTATAGGTCTTAAATACACATTGGCTTTGTGGATTTTTAGCAGACCATACATAAATGGGAGCCATCCACCTTTTGATCTGTGTAATGCTTACATTTTGGATGCGTTACTTTTATAGTATTTCTTCTCTACTACCACTTGAAAATTTAAAATATATTATTATCATCTATATAACCATTGTAATTTCAGGTAGTCTGCAGTTTATGAGAACCTGTGAAATAAAATGATATCATTTTATACTGCAAATCTGTTCTTTCTTTCCCTGTCGAAATTTATCAAGGGAATCAAATATATGAAATTCCTGGTTTCAGTCTTTTTTATTTATGATTATATTTTAAGGAATTCCAATGACTGAAACTGTTGCAGATTCCATCGTAGGCAAAATTTATTTTGATAAAGTCTCAGTGCTATAGAGTAATATTTATTGATAACGTTTCAAGCACAGTTTATTGCTCATAAACATATCCAATCACCTTGTTATAATTATGAGCAATAAACTGTGCTCGAAACATCATCAGTAAATATAGCTGTATAACATTGAGACTTTATCAAAGTAAATTTCACCCACATTGGGATCATACCCTACCACAGAGCACAAGTTCTATTCTTATATCAATTATTACAGATTGTTAGTTCTCATACTTATTTGACTAAGGAATGCAAAGCCTACCCTCGAAGCATAAGCAATGCATAGGTGCTTCTTATTGCCACTTAATTCTGTTTGACCACATCTTTTAAAATCAGCCTCCACAAGTTTTTATATGCCATAATCGTACTAACTGGTTTCATGTCTATTGATGAGGCAATAATAAGATGAAGTGGGTGGCAAATCAGTAGGATTCTCACTCTTTTGTGAACCATGTCAAAATGTTTAGTTTGCATCAACTGCTCACATCCGATTCAAGTAAAGGTATGTCACAGTGAATAGGAGAATGAAGTTGCATGCAGTCATACTCTAGCTGATGTTGGGATTGAGATCAGTTAAAATACGTTAAGCAGCTTATTTTGCAGCTTCTAAACAGAAAAACACGTAACTTTACTCATTGTATAGAGTTTCTACGGTGTTATGGATATTATTTTTCTAGATATAATTGTAAGCCTTGAAAATACTGCACGTACTTTTCAGTGCAACATAATCACAAGTAGGACTAATTTATGCTGGTATAAAGTGCATGTTATTCCGTGGTTTTTACAGCACCATTCATTCATAACTTTTACTTTTCTTCTCTTCACTACATTTTTATTTGTAACAGTCATCAATTAGCGCTTTATTATTGTTTATATGAAATCATATTTCCACCTTCCTGTTTTACGTTAATTTTCAGCTTCTATTTGTTGTTTTTAGAAAGTAGTAACATACGAGGGCTGGTAATACTAACCAATTACCTAGGCCGGAGATAGGTAAAGTGCAATCCGAACTTAGGACTTATTGACTAGAAGTCGAATATTTTTTAGGCAATGAGCCACATCTCTGTTTTAATCTCATTGAAATAATTGGTGCAGGTAGCGTTTTAAGTCTGTTTGGTTCAAAAAAAGAATGTTTTGGTACTACAAAGAAAGGAAAAGAATTGTTACCTTTTCCACATTTCGTATAACTTTAAACTCGAGCTGACCAAGCGATAAATTATTTCTACTGGTTGCTTTGTTTTCCTGTGTTGTATTGTTACGAGGAAAGAAATTAATTTTCCGTGTTCTGTTAGTAACAGTAGAAGCACTAATAATAATAATAATAAAGTGTAGTAAGCAAAATGTAAATCTGACATGTGATGTCAATAAATGTCTATTGATGTATCTATTTTAACAAGGTGAATACGCAACAAAATATTTTCAATTATGAAATAAAGGTAAGAAATTCAATATGATTGCAGATATAAAATGCTTAACCTGCACGTAGAAAAATTCAATTAGCACACATTTTGTTCACTTATCTGTTTTCAATGTACCAATGTAATTGAAATTTTTTCTTTCGTACACCTTAGCATTCGCTAGTCCTATATGGTATGTATATCGCTAACCTAATTAAAAGCAATAGATGTGAATCCATTGTCTTCATTATTTGCACCTTCTATATTTCGGGTACGAAATCCAGATCCCATTATAAGGAGTTGGTAGCTGTTCGTTGATCTCACCGTAGGAACTCATAATTATAACTACCAGAAATTTATCTATCTCAAATCAAATCACTGAATAATTAAAAACCCACAGCTGTGTTTAGCTGATTCCCTAGCGGATCATCTCGCATTAAAAAAATAGGTGCTTCAGCTGTCTGTTTCTCAGAATTTTCTTCAATAAAATATGAGTTCATGGTGCTAATCGTTTCTTTCTGGTGTGTGTCAAAATCCACGTATAAATAGTTAGTTTACATTACAGTCTTTAAAGAGACTTTTTTTATCCCTTCACGTTCCCAGTAGAACATAGGACTGCAAGCTCGAGCTTTAAAGTTTCTGTAGCAGTGGTGTTTACTTTTACGGGAAGGGGTTGCTAGCCTCATGCCCAACCTTTCCTCTTTACCAGTTTTATTACTGGCTTAACGAGGTAAAGAAGTGCGTTGACCGGGGATCGAGCCCCGGGCCATGTGCATAGTCGGCGAGCGTACTAACGGCTGTGCCACCGACGCACTTTAAAGAGATTTAGAAAAATAAAATTAAAGCGTCATTCCATCCTTCGATAAGGCTTTATTTGTTGTCTTACAACTTATGCTTAGTCGTTAAATGCTGGTGGTATCGTAATGAAAACTCTACAACACTTTATTTGGTACACATGCAATAAGTGTAAGGCATGGTGCAACTAACTTACTGAGAAATACTAGGTGAACGCGCCTTTTTATTTGTTTCTTTCACTATTATGTTGTTACTTTTTTCCCTTACATTTTAGTTTTATATTCATATTCTTATTGAACAGTATTTTCTATGTCAATTCCCTGTTCAGTTATTACCCCTGTACTGTGTAATGAGAAAATTAGATGCAATATTGTGTTATATGCTGAAAATTTCACATTTGTATCAAAAGTTCTGTTTGGAATAAAGCCATCATTATAACTGTTATCACTTTAAAATGTATTCAACTTCTTATAACACAGAGCTCTATTAACGCTGAACAATATCACTCTTCATAATTTCGCTGTCACGCAATAGTCATCGCCTGGGGATGCGAATTAAGCTATTAGTGAATTGAGCAATATTAAAGTTAACTTTTATGTCTACATTTAATCAGTTTTGAAAAGTCACCAATATTAATAATTTAGTTACTTACACTTTTTGTATTGGAATATTTTATAAACTTGTGTGTTAGTCATGTAATACTAATAGAATCATGTGTAAATTAACGTTAACAGTTTGCTTGGGTCAAAGTATGTGCGTTTTAATAAAAATTATTTTGCTTTGTGGTGTATCCACTTTTATCATGATGAAGATTGGCTGATAAAGCTAAAATCGTTTCTGTTCCTTCCATTAAAATCTATATGGCTTATAAACAGATACATTCAGCTTTAGTGTTTCTTTCTACATGCTGATCACCAGATGCACATTTGTAGTTTTTTGTTTTAACTTCCACATATTCACATACTGATGTAGTCATTCTTTTAGAAAATTTACATTACAGTCATACTAAATTTAATTTAAATAACATTTCTTCTTTCAGTCTTCAATCAGTCATTATATCATGCATCCAAATATTGAACGTACGTCAGCATCAGGGCATAAAGACGATAAAAACGCTGTGACACATACACTTATTGAAGAAGTTGATGGCTTGGAATTGGCACGCCTAGCTAGAAGACTATGGGATCAAAGTAGACATCGATATAGCAGATCTAGCCAGGCAAATGAAAAAGTCACAAATACAGTAAATTCAAAGTCAGCGTCGTTTGTTCGCCCTACTATTTTGAGTCTTCGTTCTACTCCTCAAACAGTTCTACCCTCTGTACCGAAAACCGAAGCACCAAGTAAGTGAAAGTTGTCATTAGCTATGCATCAATCTAAAGCTTATTGATAAAACTGTAGTGTTTTTACTTATGCTGTAAGTCTGCATGGAAATCAATACATTAAGTTCATTCACTCACATAGCATTTACTTTGTTTAGTCCAATTATTTCGCTTTAAGACAAGCAGAAACAGTAAGTCTTGAATTGGTAGTTGTTCGACTACCACCCTTTGTTAGGTGTTATTTTGCCTGTTTTTCAATCACCTTTGCCTAGGGTTATCACGAGGAAAACAATGTTATCACCCAGATTACGGAAGATGTTGACAACCTTCATGGAGAATAGGTTTATGGAGAGCGTACATATTCTGTCGGTCATAAGTGTCTACATGTAACACAGTCATGCAAAAAGTTTTGTTGTGATAGGTGGCATGAGAATACAAGCACTGAACCATATATATATATATATATATATATATATATATATACTAGTCCACGCTTATTTTGATAGATCTTATCCTATATGTTTTCCTCTCACCCCTGTAGTAATACATCACATTCACTGGGTTTTACTCGATTACTAATGACCTTTATGCACATATTTCTTCTCTAAATGTTATACGAAAATGTTCGTAATGCATCGATTCGAATTGAAGCTAGGCAGTGTGCAAAACTATGAAATCGGTGCAAATTATTTTTGGCACCATAACTACAGAAACAATCAAAGCTCTTTCGTCCTAGTAATTCGATGCACAGTGCACCATAAAACTGATTTTTGTAGTTATTAGTAAAATCTTGTTAGAAAAAAATGTTAAATTAATTCATCAGTTAGAGTTTCTTAGGCCTACTAGTGGGCAGCTATCTTATTTTCTTACTTACTGGACTAGTTTTTCATAATCTAGTTTCTCTACCAAGTTTTCAAGGTTACTATTTTTTTTTCAAATGCTATTTGAATTTTTACATACTAAGATAATATTATTCTAATAGTAAACAAAAGGTTTAAGTCGTGCAATTAAAAAGATTTACTGAATAGAGAATAGAAAGAAGTTCAAAAAGAATCCGCATGTAACTGAATTTTTGTGTATTAATACTGCATATTTCAAGCATCGGCACTGTATTTTGATACTATCTGAACTTATTTTTCAGTATAATTCTAATTCAGTTGTCATTACATGCCAAGGAATATGATGGCCAAGACGTGTCACAGCCACCTTAAATGCATCCACAATTTCGTTATGTGATTTACTTTTCTGAACTAACATTGTACGTATAATGCTTGCGTATAACTCCATGGAATGTAAGCGATACTATTAAGACATGTACAACTGGGAAACCTACAATATAATTTACCTTCAACCTTTGCATCTTGCAACCTCAGATCTGAATGAAACAAATAACGGGATAGCTAGATGATATAAAAGATGATACATAATGGAAAACGCCAAGATAACCTTCTGCTTCGTTAGCAACCAGTTCATGAGGGAACATGTCATATCTTGAATAGTTGCAAAAATCAAGAAAGTGGATCACTTCACATTCTCAAACTAAAAGTTAACATAGACCAGTCCTATGTTATTTTGCATTTGCAACCACGAGCGCTTAGGTTCTTGTAATATATATATATATATATATATATATATATATATATACATATACATATATATATCAGCGTTGTGATTCTTTTTCTGGTCACTTTAGTGAATATCCACTATTTCATGTACTGTTAAACATTTCTTACCTAGTACTCTACATCGAATCTTGGTAATACTTACTTTTTTTTATTCCTTCACGTTCCCAGTGTAAAATAGGACTTCAAGCTAGAGTCTTGAAGCTTATGTAGCACTGTTTATTTTTACAGGATGGGTTTGCTAGCCCCATGCCCAACCTTTCCTCTTTACCAGCTTTTATTTCTGGCTTAGTGAGGTAAAGGAGTGCGCCGGCCGGGGATCGAACCCCGGACCATGTGCATGGTCGGCGAGCGTCTTAACCGCTATGCCACCGACGCAGGTAATACTTACTATTTAGTTCTAAATGACTTGAAAATGAATTTATCGAGGGATAAACCTATACACTTGCAAAAAATAAAAGACAATCCAGTGAAGAAATTCTTCTTCCCGTCTGAATGGCCTATACTTTTATACCAATAAGAAGTATAGTTAGTACTTTATAGTGCTGAGAAACTGACACTCTTTCTGTCTTTCTGCTTCTAAAACACTTCTAAGTAACAACTACAATTGTAGGGACTAGGTTGCTTTCTTCTCTGGCTTTCACTTATCTCCTGAAAATAAATAAACAAAGAAGGATTTAGGAAGTAAACCAAACGAATCATTATGGAAAAGCAGGTATAAATGCCTTGTTGTCTTATAAGAGTAAGTGCTCCTGAAGTATATTTTGCAGTCTTAAAGATGCATATATAGTGGAAACCCGCAGTGACTTGGCTGTTTACGGAACATAGACGCTCGAAGACACTGACGAATCAATGGTCAGCTAGGCTTCGAATAAATCCTGTAACTGAAATACTAAGACGACCCTATGATTAGAAAATGAATGTCTACTTCTCCTAATCAGATATGTCATATACTATAGAGATAATTTGAAAAAACATATGTAAAAATAGTAAAATAGTCTAAAGCTGTTGTTTTATTAATTGGACATTTTATCACTAAGGTTAAGTTTCGAGAGTCACATGCTAAATGAATGACCACATTCTTTTAAAAAATTCGCTTTAAAAAGATTTAACTACTTAATTCAAGCCAAGTAGAATAAGATACATAGGATAAATTGTCTTCATATCAGTTGTATAAATGTATTAGTGTAGAAAGTTCTGTTTAGGGCTCTATTATTCGTCCTATTTAAACTCCATGTCTGTCTGCCAACTACATCTGTCCTCTATTCTGTCTAAAATATACAGTGCTTGAGCGTGTTATCCACTTATTTGGAAAGTCCCATCAGCCGTGATGGACTGGTCGTTGACGAAATCTCACCGTGCATAGAAAACACTCATGTGGCGTACACCAATTTACTCACGCACCCATGTAAGTGCTTACGGAAAAATGCCATCTGAAGTGATGACAAACGGTGGTGTCCATCAGGGATGGCTACTCTCCCTATGTCTTTTCGATTTTTGTCGTGGATGTACTAGTGGAATTAACTCTAGCTGACTTCAGCGACTTAGGGATTGACCTTTTACCAGGGTATAGTCTTGTTGATATAGTCCTTCTAGGTGAAGACGCTAATAAAAGGAAGAGTCTTCTGAACACCTTGAGAAACAATCTCCGAATATTTGGCATACGATTTGCTGCTGTCAAATGTTAAGTGATGTTACAGGACTGGACTACATCAACTTCCAGCGTCAAAACTGGGCGAGAAGTGGTAGAGAGTGTTGACCACTTTAATTATTTGGGAAGTTGCATCAGCCCCAACGAGCTGATCGCGGACGAAATCTCATCATGGATACAAAAGTCTTGTGTGAGATTTTACAACTTACGTCATCTCTTAAGGAGATGGGATATCAGGCTGTCGATCAAAGGACGTGTGTACTACTCCGCCATTCGCTTTGTCCTCCTCTATGTCTGTGAGCCATGACCATTAAAAGTGGAAGACATGAAAAGACCAGCTATCTTTGGTCGTAGGTGTCTGCATTGTATCTCCTGTGTTAGGTGGTATAAGTAGGGAGAGTAATATTGAAGTTAGGCGTCTAATGTTAAGTAAGGAGGGACAATCATTCGATGTGGTTATGAAGCTACATTGATCGATATGACTAAACCATGTGTTACGCATGACTAGACATCGCCTACCTCGACGTTTAATGTTAGTCCACAGAGCATCAGGCTGGAAAAGAGCTAGTGGTGGTCAAACAAAAACATGGCATCTGTCCATGAAATCTTCGACGGTTACTTTGAGCCATGTAGACTGCTCAGAACCAATAGCTAAAGACTGCTGGTGGAGTAGCTCAGAATCATTCCCAATATCACAGGCATACTCACCGTTTGTTATCTCCCAAATCCATACAATCCTTATTATCCTCCATGCAATTATTCTTTCTTCCTTAAGTTTCCGTTCATTGCATTTCCCTTACATTTTTTTCGCTACCCTTGGGCGCTTATGGAGTGTGGCAACTTGAGCTACTGCACTTCTGTACCTGGTTCTACACTAGAACTTGGCTAGTCAGTTATCTAAAATGCACTAGCGTTCATGTATTATTTCAACGTCACAAAATTGCTATATACATATGAGATCAGATGTCACTAGCTTGCATATATTAGGTGTACATCATAATTTGGCAAAGTCGCAAGTGTTTGCTGAATCTCTGTTTATTAGTTAAGATTAACCAAATGCAAATGCCCTGGAATATTATTTGACTGTTGTTGTCTTGTGTATTATAAACAATCAAATCATGCATCACATTTCAATAGGCTGTACGACGTCATTCAATTATTGTATAATTCCACCATATAGTAGAACCATCATTCACATTGTTGATTTTATTAATTTCCATCTAGCCTTCATGGTAACCTGAACTATCCAGACGTATAACACTACTCGTTTATGTAATCTTAATCAGGTGACAGAATTTTGAATTTTGTTCCTTTATACCCTACTAAAGATGCATTTCTTCGTTCAACAGCAGTTACATAAATTAAAGAAGTACGTTGACAAATAATTCTCTTAACAGCTGATGTATTTCGACTAACCACTAACATGCATATTTAATATTTAGTAGTGCATCCCCTACTGAGGACAACATTTGTGATTACTGCTAAAATAACCACTAACTTACTGATCATTACAAAACAGTAGGTTTGATGTGTGTGTGTGTGTGATTAAAATCCCACTATTAATTTCTGTCCACCGATAGTCGCAATAATCTTTAGGCGTTTTACTTTTAATTGCAAAGGATATTCTGATTTGTTTGAATGTTAGTAGTATGGTTGTCTAACAATATAAAATAAATGCTATTTGTTTTAATACAAATAAATTTTCCAGAGTTAGGTAACAACGCGCTTTGTATCATCTGGCTATCGAATGTAATTTGACAAAAATAAGTTGGTATTGCAGCAATGGTGTAGAATTATTTTCCACTTGTTTTCTCATGCCTGTGTGCGTGTGTGTGTGTTTCCAAGTGAATAGAAGCGCGCATGTCTGGCTTAGTGTGTAATCCAAGGTGTGTGTGTGTGTGACGTGCTATATGAGATTGTGATAGTGATTAACAAGTATTTCAGTTCGACTCTACCTAACTGCTATTTATCATGCCTCAGCGGAAAAGCTGTTGATATATATATATATATATATATATATATATATATATAACCCTTCTAATGATTATATCACTTTCATACAACAGCTTTGTCATCAAATTTCATGCGTAAGTCTATCTGTTTGCTGTTATCATTGATGTTTGCGTGGATGTCTTTTTTAGATATTCACCTGCTGATTATATGTGAAACCCAACAAATGCTAACTCTCTTTCCATCAGTTTCTTTCATTGAATCGACAATCTATAAATTATGGAAAATTCCCATTGTAACATATAGAAAATCAAAACAAATGATTCAGCGAAGAGACTCTTTTCAACGAATTTATCATCAAGCTGTACAATCGTATATATATGGTTTTTAAGAAGTTATATCCGGTGAGGGAATTGAAACATAGGTGTGAATGCATGAAATAATAATAATATGAAGTGCAATTAAAACTAAAATGTTTGTGATTATAATCGTAGTTAGAGGTCAAGTGGCAAAGCAAATTAATGTCATATATAGAATAATTCATAGGATGGATAGAACTTGAAAAAGGTGTGCAATTATAAGATTAGTAGACAAATCGAAAAAATAAAAACGTTACGTAATATTGTGTGAAATTTAATAGCATAGAATTTAATGTTGCATAAAGGAATTGATTTAGAATGACAAGTGGAACAAGTGAAATAATACCGGGGACAATTAAAAGTGAGAGTAGTAATAGTAACAATTGACTTAATAAGGAAGAGTATACAAATTGAATAGACAAAAATGAAAAAAATGGAGAGTTGGTAGAGCTAAAGTATGATTGGGGATTACCATACTTTAGCATAGAGGGATTAAGACCATGAAAGTTGGAGGGGTTGAACGAACTTCTTCTGTACACAGGATCTGGCTTTTCTGTTTCGATAGCCAAAGCTTCAGCAATACAGATGAGTCGGGTACGTAGGGATTTGGGTAGATTACTCTTTGCCTTGTAGATGACTTTAAAGGCGAAGGCTATAGAGATAGGGTGATCATTATCGACCAGATGTTCAATGATCGCGCTTCTTATTGCTCCACTACCACCTTTTCGTAACCATGCAGGATAGTGTTCTTGCACCCTCTTGGACAAAACTCGTGTCGAACGACCGATATACCTAGCTCCACAAGAGCAGGTGAATTGATAAACACACATAGAGTTGGTCAACAGCGGGATCTTGTCCTTCAGGTTTTTGAACAATAATGGTCGACTAGAAAAGGCTATTCTCAGGGATGCAGCAGGGAATGTTCTTTTCAGGGATTGTGATATCCTCCGTTTCATGATATCGGAAGCTAAGTCCCCTTTGAATTCCAAGCTCATGTAAAGTGTCTTCTTGGGTACGGTTGATAACTCACGTTTTTTAGGATTTGAATGAATATTCTTATCTATAAAACGTGGTGGAAATCCATTTTCTATTAAGACTTTCCTCAAGATGTATAGCTCATCTTCCACAGTATCAGGGCTACATATGCGCCGAATACGAGTGGCAAGCGACCGGATCAGGTTTCGTTTTCGACCAATGGGTACCCAACTGTAGAATTGGATTTTTGTGTTTTAAAACGCGTAACTCACTGAATCTTCGTCACTAAACTGATTCTTAGGTATATGAAAGTAGTACTTTTCGCTATTATTATTATTTTTATTATTATTCCCTGACATTCTGAGTTGAACAAACCTGTCTTCCCTATGTCTACTTGAAGTTCAGTCTTTGCTGTCTCTACTGCCAACTTGTTGGTTTCTACCTTTAAATCTCCCACTGTCTCCTCGTTGCCCCAACGTATATCCGTCCTGTCACTCCCCACGATCTGTTGCATGGTCCAGCCCCAACCACAGGTAAGAATATCATCAGTGGCAGTGGGCAGCCTTGTCGAACTCCTGTCTTAACTTCAAAGGCTTCGGTGCTATTGTTGTTATTATTTTCAGGTAAACATTTTACCACCTGATCAAGCAAAATATATTGTCTTCTCTCTGATCGTCTGAAGTCTAACTTTTCCAGTAAAACTTCATCTATGGAATTCTAGTTAGGAGACAGAATGTAATAGTTGGTTCTTTACTTAATGAATGAATGCAACTTTTAGTTCATCTGGTCACTATGATAGTCTGTCACTTTGTACTGGTGGTAATCTCGTTTGGGCTTGTTCCTTTATCGACCTCAGTATAATTGCACTCATTAATCTGACTGCAAAGCGACACATCTGTTTTTACTTCTAGTGCACAAGGCGAACTATCCTTTTCGGGTTTGTTGAAAGGCCTAAGTGTTGTAATCATACATGCTTAAGTGAGGTCATTTGGTTTGATCTAATTCGGCTGTCTGAGCTGAATCAAATCGGATGCATCGCTGATTTACTTGGCCTCGAACGAGCGAAATGGCTGTTCGGTATTTAGATCACTTCTATCTGACTGCCAAGCACTACTGATTGATGTGAGCAGAATACGATAACTGCTCATCTCAGTCAGTCAGTAGTGTGTGCAGTTCTGTGCACTCATGTTTAAGCAAGTTTCAATTTAAACCTGTGATATTAGCTTACGTTTGGTAGTTCAAATGTATTCTTTTAGTAAAATATTGATATATAAGACATTATTATTATTATCCATTCCTTGCGCTTCAGCAGCACATCTTTACTTTGTCTTGTTCTCTGCGGTCATCTTAAGCTGACCCCACGATTGCCCATAGTCTTTTATCATCTTCATGTCTGCCTCGGATACCCCACTCGTTTTTCCCCACTCGGGTTCCTTTTTGGAGGGCCTGACTCGCGGTGTCATTCAACATTCTACTCAGCGTGTCTGGTCCATCTCCATTTTCTTCATCATATTTGTTGAAAAAATGGTCTGTTCCCAGAGTTTCGTGTTGGTAATTCTTGCTCTGGCCAACCATCTGATCTGCAGTATGGACCTAGCAAAGGCAGCTATTGATAAGAGTCTGCAGCTGGCTGTGGGAAATGCTATTCGAGACACGCCCACCACAATTTTCTGACCCATATAGAAGAAGTGACTTAGCATTTGTGTTGAAAACCAAAATCTTGTAGTTCATGCTGAGTGCAGTAGATTTCCAAACTGATTTCAGAGTGATGAAAGTGTACCTTGCCTTTCTGTTGCATTTTGCCTTTGACATCTTCATCCGTTCCTACTGCGTGTAGTTGAAACAATACTGCCTAGTGACGTCTTTCAAATTTCCTCCGTTGATAGTACTGATGTATAGGACTACCTAATACATTTAACATAATTAGATATTTGTAAAGCATAGTATACTATCTTACATGGAGGTCCACGTTAACATTCGTTTCTTATGGTGTCGTTACATGTATTTTCCATATATTTCATTATTAGGAAGTATCCACCAAGAGAAATTATTAGGATATCATATTTTCTAACTGCTTATTATTCTGCTGTATTGCTTTCGATTAATTTTATTTTTGCTATAATATTCTGTTATGAAAGGTTTATATGACTGTTTAATCAATTTGATGCTTAAACTTTTCTTTTCCTTTAAATCATCGGCAATCGTGGTGTATGATTGAAAAATAAAAACACAATATATCTGCAAATTTGTTAGAAACCATTTATTTTGAATCACCGGATATGGACTCAGCATTCGATCTTGCTTGGGATCATGAAATGGGTAAGTTTTAGATGGTGCATATTTTAGTTTAATATCATAACTTTCTAATGATGATTACTGAACTGACAGTTAAGTGAAGTAATATTGAGTGAATTACATTTATCATTTTAACCTTCATTGCACTGTATCATCATTAGACTAGGCTTTTAATGCACAATACCTCATTGAGTTGAAGGTAAGTGTATTGGATAACATTCTGTGGATTCCGTGAGGAATGGAGTGCTATAGATCAATCTTTAGCGACTTTTGGTAACAAGTGCCAGAATTGTTTGCATGGCTGCGATGTATTCACTACTTTTTGTTAAGCAGATTCGTGAAATCTTCACTAGACTTGATTTAGTTGTTGTTTGTAGCTTCCGCGTCTATTTTAGTCTCATTACTTTCACTTTCCCTAATTTCATGTGTTACATTAAATTATAGTTTAGAGAGAAGCGACCTTGTGGGATGCTCCCCTTAAAACCAGGAAAACGAGCAATAAAACAATCAGAACCACACCAGCACAGGAAAATAATTCAGAACAAGAAGGGTAACAAGAGACAACAACAATAATAATATCACAGTCAATTACAGTTAACCAAAATGATACCAAAATCATAGACTCACTGACTTGAGCCAACTTGAACATGTAAATCCATCAATATATACAATTATAGATATTAGTTAGTGTTAAACAAGCACAGAGTGGCAAATAGATAGTTATAGGTATTATCTATCAAAAGTATTATATCCAAGATTCAGTGTTTCAAAGGCAAATAATTGCAATAGTTTTTTGCAACTTTTTGGCAAGATATTCCACAAAAATAAGAGTTTTAGGTAACTATGTAAATGTAACGTATTAATCGAAAAGCGCGTCAAGGTTCCTGGACAAGAACAACAACAACATACAACGATCAGCATAAATGGGAGGAACCTGGAAGAAACAACCTCTTTTACCTACCTGGGAAGCATCGTTTCAACTACAGGAGGAACTGACAAGGATATCAAAGCAAGAATCGGAAAAGAAAGACAAGCTTTCACTACTGTCAAGAAAGTGTGGAGGTCAACAGCACTCAGCATCAAAAATAAGATCCGAATTTTCAACTCCAATGTGAAGTCAGTCAGTGCTACTATACGGACCAGAGACTTGCACTGCGCGTCATAAAGAGCATCTCAAACACACTACAGACCTTCATTAACAGTTGTCTTCGCTCAATACTCAAGATCAGATGGCCGGAAAAGGTCAGCAACAGGGAGGGATCTCTGGGAGCGAACCAACCAGGAACCGATTGTGAAACTAATAGACAGGAAGAAATGGAGATGGATTGGCTATACTCTGGGGAAACCATCAAGTGACATCACTAGACAAGCCATTGCTCTAGTGGAACCCTAAAGGGAAGCGGCGAGTTGGTCGTCAGTGTGAGGGTGACTTGGAGGAGGTCATGTGAAGAGGAGATGAAAACGTGTGGGCAGACTTGGAGCCAGATGAAGACTCTAGCAGAGAACCGAACGCAATGGAGACGCACGGCTGAAGCCCTATGTTCCTCTAGGAATTAAAGGAAACAACAATAATAATAATTGCATTTGTAATTCTTCCAAGTATGGCAGTTTGATCTTATGCACTTTTGTTGAAATTGCACTGTTGATATTATCAGTCACTTACTCAGTCATAACTAATAGTGACAGCATGATGTGTGAGAGCTTGATCGAACGAGAAAATTTAAGCTGATGTGTTTCCTTTGTGTGCTGTTTCTAACTCGGGATTACTTAACACAGATTTAGCTTTATAATTCCTTAATATTTTAGCTTTTTGAAATACTGGCACTTTTTCAAATTACGAGCAGTTGAAAAGTTCAAAAGAGGAAGATCTACCCTTTGCTAAATGTATCCTGGCTTTTGTTTTCTTTGGAGAGTCATCCTTAAAATATAGCCATCACGAATGATGCTATGGATAAATCCCAATGTTTTTAGGTTTTATTTTTCCATGTTCGCTTCATTCGGTTCTACATTTTTTGTTAGGAATTACCGTCAGTAGCCAACTCTCATGCTTTTTTCAAAGTTGATATAAGTATAAAATTTGGGCACTGTGGTAGAGTATAACTCCACTATAGATAAGATTTTATTTTGTTCAATCACACAGTATTATACAGTGATATTAACTGATGACGTTTCGAGCACAAACTATTGCTCATAATCATAAGTTTGTGCTCAAAACGTCATCAGTTAATATTACTGTATAACACTGTGCGATTTTTTCAAAGTTCCCTAATTCAACTTCCAGCTTGTAAAGTGAACACGTTTTCCTTCCTCCTTACAAAATAATTTTTTAATAACACCGGTTGATATTTAATAAAAAACTGCTTAATTTCATATAGGCAACAGTCAATGTGAATTTTCGTTGAGTCATCAAAATGTTCCACCTATCTTATGTAGGATATCGATACTGAGGCTGTTAGATTGGTCATTTTAATATTTCATTATGGAAACAAAGTGTTGAGATTAACGAAAATCAACTTTAACGCAGGATATTAATACTTTAGATGAATTTTGTTCTCTCAGCTCAAGTTCAGGTGTGCCACAGGTCCAAACATGTCAATAACTGTTGAAGTCATTAACTGTCGATTTGAATCAAATGAGAAAGTTTCTGTCGCTTGAGCGCGCTAGTCTGGATTTTGATTAGATGGCTCAAAATCACTGAAACTGGGGAAGGTGGATTTTCTCATCATCAAGTTCCAGATTCTGAACATCTCACTGCTACTCATTAAATTCGTTCCTCTCTCTCTCTCCCACTGATGTTCGTCTACTATAGAGTATTATTCCTACCTCTAACTTCGCCTAAATTTTACACCAGTTTCCAATTATGAGTGGCTTAATTACTAATAGGTTATAGGTTGAGCAATAACATCCCCATCTGAAGTTGTCTACATCACCATCGTTAGTTTAGAAGAGTTGCATTTAGTCGACGCCGGTAACACTGTTACTGTTCTTCTTTTACTTTTCTGTTTGACTAAAGAACTATTCATTACTTGTGAGAATGTTTGTTTTTCTTCATATTATTTTTATTATTATTCATGCTGCACTAAATTTGTTTCATTAAATATAACAGTATCATTAATCTACGTATGCAACTTGGGCACTATTATTGTAGTATATGTAATTCCATATTAACTTGTTTATTTTCTATGACGGACAATAAAATATTATTACTTAGTGCGTAGCTTATCGAGTACGGTCTTTTGTTCACAGTCATGTCAAAATGATTAAAAGTTTTTTAATTATTAATAGGTAGCCATTTTTAACATGAATCCATCGTAATTAATGTCTTTGAAATTATTTCCTGAATTTCATCAATATCTTGTATATATATATCATGTTTATTCCCTATTTCTAGATTTAGATATGTCAAATGCAGAAACTAGAAGATCACTTGGCAAAAACACCGCTCAACGTGCTATTCCACGTGACTTCAATAATGACGAGACATCTTCCAATAGTTTCATTACTCGTAATCCATTCGATGAACGAAGAAGAAGACCACTTGCAACAGCTTCTACGCAAAATGCAAGCTATAGTCAAACTCAGTCAGTTGCTATTCTCCCTGTACGAAATGATGGTTATAATCCTATTGTAGACAGCAGGTGGATACCAAGTGACAAACTACCCGGCGGTGGTAATACACGTAGCTCTGTAAAGAAACCGCTGTCATCAGAAACAGCTATCCCGTGTTCAGACTTGATTTTATCACCTACATACAATACCATTAATACTGACAACAGTCAGACTATCGGTAAAAATACATCGAAACTTTTATTCTCAGATAATTTAGTTGACTCTGGCTTTGTTGGTGGAGGCAATAGCACCATAATAAGCAGTTTCTCTGATTTCGATGATATTGCTGATGATGATGTCGTTGATACAGAGAAACAGGGATCATTGGGTACCTTACCCATAGATCACTCTTCAGAGCATTTAAGTGATTTTCTCTGGGAACATGAATTATTTAGCCCTCAGACATTCAAACCTAAAAGTATTCATTGCCCAACAAATGTACATTAGTTTCGATTGAAAAAAAATGACAATTTTCTTGCTTATTTTCACAAAGAGTATTATAACAGATGAAAATAACCTATATCAAGTTCTATGCAATATTTATGGTAAATTCTTTATGCATTAACTATCACAGACACACATTGTAAAGATTAATATTCACTCCGGATACTTATCTTTTACTCTCTGATTGTTCACATTTTTAGTCAACCGGTAATTCTCTTTTGTAATCCTGTTTTTAGGCTTTCGTTTACTACCAGTCAACAATGTTTTCAATTAGATTTTATCATCACTATTTTGCCTTCACGTGGTGACGCACCTCTTGCATTTAATAAATTGACTTGTGTTTCTTTCTTCTTTTTTTTCTTGTTCGCTAACCTGCATTTCCATCGTTATTTTTTCTATTCGCTTCCATGCCTTTTCTTGTCTTCCCTTCTCCTTTTGTTTTTCCTATTAATTTTAGTTCGTTAACAATTCTCTTCCCATTGAGATTAATTTATCTTCGAATTGATTAACTTGTGAGTTTTTTTTAAATTCTCCCATTTACCTTTTCATCTATTCGTGTATTTTCTTCTCCATAGAAAAAAAAATGATTCAACGAAACTCTTTCTGTGGTGGTAGTAGGCTAATCAGTGATATTTGTTTGTTATCCTATGTCGTTCTAGCATTCATTAGTTCATTATCCCCCCTACCCTTTTTCCACTGCTTTATGTGTTGTTCTAAGTGTTAATACCTCGCATTAACCGTGCGTATGCAAGCAATTACATAATTCATGTACTAGGTGATAAGAAAGTTACTGAACGAAATCTCTCTTTTTTTTCTGTTCTTCTGATTTTATTCCCTTTATGGTTAATTTTCTTTGCTTTCTTTCTGCACCAGAAAATTAGACAAGGAAAGCTTTTTAAAAATCTAATTAAATAAATACAGAATCTTTTCTAACAAAATGCAATTGATTTATAATTTCCTTGATTACATGTGCACACATAGACGAAAGCAAACAGTAAACACATGCATATATGTATATTCTTATTAACCCAAAGTCTGCATACTCGTGATCTGGTCTCTTGTTTTACCTTTAATTATTACTCTCTCTTTTTTTTCTTCCTTTACGTTAAAAGATGAGTACACATGAAGTCCTGTTGCTAATCTTATTGTTGTGTTTAATTGTGTTTCACTCATGTTAAGTAGTTTGATTCTGCTCTTATGAATAAATTGATATACATATATATATATATATATATATATATATATATATGGCTAGTTCGAATTCCTATTGCTGATGTGTCTGAGTTATGCAGACAATTAAACAAGTCTTTACTATATGCCATCCCCTCCTTCTAGTTTCAAAACTTTTGTATGTTAACTTTTTTTGTCGTGTTGCTGTGATGTGTAGTTATCTTTAGGTGATCGGGAAATTGCGTGTATTTGTTGTGTAGGGTTTTCATGTGCAACAGTTGTTGCGTGCTGCAAATTAAAAATAACTTTCAAAGAAAAGTATGCTCTATAGTTAATTGTAACTTAGTCTGCAACATGTTAGTAACCCTCACCTAGTTTGGCTTCTGATATTTGTTCAATTATATTCACAATAAGTTGTGACAACGTGGAAAAGAACACAGTTTGGACAAGTCTTTTCTTTGCTTATTTTAAATCTTAATATATTTTTTATCTATGTTGTTTTTGCATTCAATATTGTATATTTCTACCAGAGGAATCTTTGTGTGCCATTGTGTTGGGCTTAAAACCTTGAATTACAGTGGATTATTGAGTTGTGAAATTGTTTGAAAACATGTTTACAGCCTCTTACATCGCCTATCTATGAACAATATTATTGATGAAAGAGGTAACACACTTTATCACTGTACGAATTCAGAGGATGAATAAACTGTTTTCCGTTTGATTCCCCATTTTGAAACTCCGTTTACACAACAGTTATATCCGAAAATTTGTATACACAAATATAATTTTCATCAACTTCTATAAATGTTTGAGTTCATTGCATTAAATACAGATAAACAGTGTTATATGATCGGTTGTATTATGTACATTTATGTTAGATCCAACCTGTGAAGAGATATGTCTTAATGCTTCTAGGATAATTCTGGAGGATACAATAATGAATTTGCACGGAGACTTATTTATCAGCTACTTGATATCCAAAATTAATATTCCCCTTGGTGGATATCTGCTCACTGCTAATTAGTTGGTGACTTCGTCAAGAAGGAAATTTTCTCCGTTGCAATCGGTGTCTTCCCTAGATTATAATATGTATATTCCGAAAATATTATGCAAAAATATGAGCCCAAGTTGACTCTCGTATGGTGTTATTACTTTTAATAGTTATGCGTAATCTAGTGTTAATTTGAAGGCTCATTGCTCCTATCGTCACCGCATTAGTTTTAGCTATTCCTTCGCCAGTACTTTTTTCATTTGATGAGTGTTAAGGGGAAGGGTTATAATCGTATGATTTAGCTTATCGAATGTACTCAGAGATCGTTGAGCAACACTGAAAAATAGGTATTTTCACTTATCAGGAGCCTTTTGTATTTTTTAAATATAAGTCATATTTCATAGTAAATCTGATTTGAATTGGTTTCTTGGGTTAGGCGTACATTCTGCTCTATAGGTTCCAAGTGATTGTACTATGCATGCCACGAGGAATGGTATGAGTGTGTTTGCGTCGGTGGCATAGCGGTTAGGACGCTTGCCGACCATGCACATGGTCCGGGGTTCGATCCCCGGCCGACGCACTCCTTTACCTCGCTAAGCCAGAAATAATGCTGGTGAAGTGGAAAGGTTGGGCATGAGGCTAGAAACCCCATCCGGTAAAATAAACATTGCTACAGAAACTTCAAGCTAGAGGCTTGAAGCCCTATGTTCCACTGGGGAAAGTGAAGGAAAAAAATTAACTAAATAGCATTGACAATAAGTCATCTGTATAGATGTTGTATTATTAACCATATACCTTATGTATTCAGACACAGGAATATCATTAGGAAGTAGTCCGTTCTAGCGTGATATATAGACTATGTATTATCGCAAATGGATTAAAGCGCGTCTGCAGATATTAACACAATCATTAGTGATATATTATGGCATCTTCCCTTTACTACTGATTCAGCTTCTAATGGTAAAGATGAAGAAATCTATGCCTGTTTTAATCTTCATCAAAACTAAACAAGTCCACCTAAGAGAATTTGGTAATTTAGCAGACTAGAAGATCCTTTCAGAAAAGGTATATGACAAATTGAAATGCCTTATGCTGGGGTTTTAAAGATATCATCTAAATTAACTTTACATGTTTGTTCACCCTTTTACGAATATGAGTTTAATGATGTTCATAGTTCTCTTACACAAGATATCTTATGTGTAAAGGACCCTCAATAGTAGGAATTCGAGGACTTTCCAATTATAGAACTAGAAGCCACAGCTTATAAGAATCGAAGACCAGTCACAGAAAAAGGTCAAGCGTCAATAAAACCGACTGTAGTATAAATATTTCTGCCGCCTCATCCGAACTGGTTGACGCAAGAAGACTGATTCCGGCGAGCTCCGAATATGATGAGGAGCGGAAGCTACTAAAACGCAAACTAACAGGAAGCCTCCGAAACGACGGTGAACAGTGGTGGGCGACAAAAGCGAGAGAGAGGGAAAAAGTATCGGCGATTGGTAACACCAGATAACTATTTAGCCTAATCAGAGAAACAGGTGGCAGAAGACACACGATAAGTGAAACAATGTCTGAGAAAAATGGTGCCATAATTAACTCTCAGGGTAGACAACAAGAACGTTGAAAAGAACACTTTGAGGAGCAATTCAATAAGCCTACAGCCACGCTCAACACCTCCCTGAATGGGATATAGACACAGGTCCTTCCTCCCTTACTGAGGTTACTAAGGCTGTTCTTGGCCCAATAATAATGCGTAGACTAAGTGGTGCTCGGCAGGCAAAAACACGAGAAAACCAGGCAGGCTTTAGACCAGGAAGAGGGTGTGTTGATCATATCTTCACTCTTCAACAGATTCTGGAATATAGGCATACTTACCGAGGTCCAAAAATCGTTATATTTCTTGACCTAAAGGCGATATTCGATTCCGTCAACCGAGAGGTACTCTGGCGATGCTTGGCTGTAAAGGGAATCCCGAGAAAATACATTGCACTGATCAAGGCACTCTACTCGAACTCATGTAGTCAGCCAGGTGAGAGCTTACGGCGAGTTGTCATTTGAAGTGGCGACAACTAGTGGTATCCGTCAGGGATGCTAGCCCGCTATCCCCATTTCTATTCAATTTCATCATAGATGTACTAATGGAATTAATCGTAACTGACTTCAGTGACTCAGGGATTAACTTGTTACCGTCAGGGAATAATCTGGTTGACTTAGAATATGCAGATGATATAGTCCTTGTAGGTGAAGACGCTGACAAAATGCAGAGTCTTCTGAACACTTTGAGCTGCAATCTTCGAATGTTTGGTATGTGATTCGCTCCCGCCAAATGCTAGATGGTGCTACAGGACTGGACTACGCTGACTCCTAGCTTAGAAATAGGGAGTGAAGTGGTAGAGCACGTTGACCGCTTCACTTATTTGAGAAGTTGTATCAGCCGACGCCAGCGGGTTGATTTCTGACGAAATCTCATAACGGATACAGAAGGCTCATTTCACATATGCCAGTTGACACCGTCTCTGGCGTAGACGTGATATCCGTCTCGGTATCGACCAAATGTCGTGTGTACTGCTCATCAGTTCTCTCCTTCCTCCTTTATGGTTGGCTGTGAGACCTGGTCATTGAGAGTGGAAGATATGAAAAGCCTGACTAGCTGTCTTTGATCATGGCTGTCTGCGATCTATATCCCGTGTTACGTGGTGTAATAGGGTGAGCAATATTGAGGTTAGGCATCAGTGGAGTGCTAGGTAAGGAGGGTAAATCAACCGACGAGACTGAGAAGTTACATCGACTGAGATGGTTATGACATGTGTTACGTGTGCCTAGTCATCGCCTTCCTCGATGGGCAATGTTAGCTGAGATAGGGTCAGGCTGGAAAAGAGCTGGTAGCGTAGTGGTCAAACCAAAACATGGACACATCAGTCGATGAAATCCCCAACAGTTAGTTTGAGCCTGCCACATAGGGAGTTGTAGATTTCCTGACTGGTTGGGATCCTCGGGACGGTAAAAACCAATGAGAGCTGGAGGCAGTCGGTGATATGGCTCAAAATCGTTCTAAATGGCGCAGATGTATCCACTCCTTGTGACTTATAATACCCAATGAAACTACATTGTTATTCATTTTAAATTATTTAAATTTATCCCAGCGTGTTAAGAAAATCAAAAGATTTTTCTGAATAATAAAAATCCGAATAAATCTGCTGAAGGAGCTGCAAAACGTTCAGGAAAATCTTGTTTTGATTTTCTTAATACGCTGGGATTAATTTAAATAATTTATAATGAATCAATCTGACTCGGCGCTGAAATTATTCCAGGAAGTTCGTAACACTTACGGTCTGGAAACTTATAATCTTATACTGTTCTTCGTTATTATTATTGCTTTTGTCTCATATCCGTGTTTACTGTCTCTATTATGCATTTCTTCTCTTGCCTTGTGTGCTGTATGGAGTGTGGCGACTTGAACTGCTGTTCATCGGTGCACAGTACTATGTTGAAAACAGTCAGTTATTTTAGCGTAAATAGTATGTTCATTGGCAATCTTGATGAACAATTAGAATGCTGAGAAGACTTCAACAAAAGCTCATTTAAGCATTTTATCCATGTGGCTGATAGTAAACACTGTTCATATTAGATTGGTAGTATTCACCCAACCAATACAAGATTATCCAGAAAGAACTTCGAACCTATAAACGCAAAAACGCAGGTAAACTCATTCGATAAGATGTTGATCTAGTTTGTCATATTTCCACATAAAGTTTCAAAAGCTAAGAGTATCTGGGATCAATCATTCACAGACACCGTAAAGTTTAAGGGCGAATAATGTATCAAAAGACTATCATAAAGATATAAGTTTAAAACTTGGGCACTGTGGTAGAGTAGAACTCCACTATGGATAAGATTTTATTTTGATAAGTCACAGTGTTACACAGTAATATTAACTGATGACTTTTCGAGCACAAACTATTGTTCATAATCATATCAAGTTATTTACACAACTTTTTCCTTCATTTATATACTGTCATAAAGAAAATAAGATATAATTCAGCAAACAAAATTCTCTTTGTATCTAAGAATTCGCCTTCAAAAGCTGTAAGATCATATTTATATTCACAAAAAAGTATAACCATCTATTATTGAGTAGTGGGATGTGTTCAACATAAGTGATACAGTTACTCAGAAGTGGTTTCTAAAGACTGTATAGACTTTTTTGACAAACTTCTAGCTCCTTTGCCATACCAACCGTCGAAACAGTAAACCTCTTGTACCATTCGGCCTCACCTTGTAGGTTATTTTATAAGACAACTCGGTTTTACTCTCTGATATGAGTACACGAAGTGCGTTCGGAAAGCATGCGCTTTGTGTGACTAATATGACTAGCTAAATAGAAGCAAATGAATTTGTAAACACTGTAGTGACCTTCACAAACCCAGTGACCATATAGACTAAAGAAATAACCTGTAGCTTAGCTGAAGATGCAGTTCTTCAGAATTATAGCTTTGGTATCACCTTTGTACTCAACATTCATAAAAGCAATTTCTTTGGCACTGTTTGGCTTATCTCATGCATCTGCCTTACTTTTATGTTTTTCTCGATGAATCATGCAAGATATCCATTTTCGATGAGGGCATACGCTGAGAAATTAGTTCCCGGAGTCAGTACGCCTATAAATATTTTCTGTAATACTGACAGTAACTCAGTTGACAGTATGATATTCTATGCTTTTAACAATCACCAATTTGAATGACTAATGCGCTTCTCATTTCAGAAAAGTAGAAATTTTTTTAAGTCGGAGTTTATAATAATAATTTGCTTTATTCCAGAAACATTACTAGTGGTACAGCACATATCTACAAT